CTTCAACTCTTAACAACTACAGATCAAAGCCGGGCCTGGTTCTCTCTATCCTCACCTTTGCTCCTGTACTTAAAGCCATCATTGCAGTCACTGTGTCAAGCCATCTCACTGAGGATCTCTCTCTATTGCTAATCTTCCACTCTTCTAAGCATAACGTCCTTTTCCAAGGACTGCTTCCCCCTAATTAACATGCCCAAAGTTTGTAAGCTCTGTCATCCTTACCTCTAGGGAGCTGTTGTTATTGGTAAGTGCCATCAAGTTGACTGCAACACATAGCAATATTATGGTCAGCAGATTTGGCCTTGTCCTATCCCGTGCCATCCTCCTGAACTCTGATGTGCAGGAGGAACCCATTGGTATACTCACTGTATCAATCCATCTTGTTGAAGGTTTACCTCCCGCCTCACCTTCCCTACCCCCACCCCATATGATGCCCTTTTCCAAGGATTAGTTCCTCCTAACAACGTGCTCACGGTATTTGACATGACGTTTCACCACCTTTGCATCTGAAGAGCACTCGCCAAAGTTGTACTTTCTCCAAGGCAGATTTGTTGTTTAAACCATCCCTGGGATATTCATTACTTTTCTCCAACATCACAATTAAAAACATTGGTTCTTCTCTTGTTATTTTTATTAATTTTTTTTAACTTTTAGATGTATAAGAAGCAATCGAAAATGTCACCGAATGAATCAGGCACATTTTAGTCTTTTGTTTTTTCAATTTCCATTCATCCATTGTTGCACTTTTCTCCCTGCCCACACCTCCACCTCCAGTACAATCTTCTCTTTGAAAAGTAAAAGAAAAGTTCTCCCATTATTTTATAATCCCTCCGCCCAGGTCCACTCCACTACGTAGCTTTCATTCTGGACTCCTGTCATGACAATAATACCTAATCACATATCCCTTTTAAACAGTTTTCTCCCTCATCTGTTTCAATGCCGTATACATTATTGAGCCCATCTTTCTCAGTCTCTCCCTAGCCCCAAGGTCAGTCCTGTTTTACAACAGTGGCACTATGCAGTATTTGTCCCTTTGTTTTTTTTTTTATTTTATTTTATTATTTTTGTGTGCGTGTACCGTCAAATCGGATCTGACTGGTACAGGAGGAGATTGCCCCTCCTTCCCCGGCAGAGCATCTGGTGGATTCGAACCATGCACCTCTGGGATTGTAGTTGCAGCTTCTTGCCACTAGGCCACCAGAGCTCCCCTGTATTTGTCCCTTTGTGACTGAGATATTTCACTCAGCATAATGTCCTCCAGAGTCACCCATTTTTAATAATATTGCATGAGTTCCTTGTTTTTCAATGCAGCGTAGTATTCCATTGTGTGAATATACCACAGCTTCTCTATTTATTCGTTTGTTGACGGGCACTTAGGTTGTTTCCAACTCCTCTCTATCATTAACAAAGCTGCAGTAAACATAGGTGTGCATATATCTGCTTGGGTGGCAGTAATGGTCTCATTCTCTTCAATCTGTATGCTAAGCAAATGATTCCCAAGAATCTAGTAACTGTCAGAGATCTTAAGGATGGTACAGAATAGTGCAAAGTTCAAGTTGATTGTTCAAAGGATCACTATGAGTTATAGTTTACTCAATGGCACCTAACAACGACAACACCACAGCTAATCATAAATTTAGTAATTCAAATCCACCAGCAGATCAATGGAAGAAAAATAGCATTTGCTTGCCATATGGATTTACAACTTCAGAAATCCCATTTGGTCACCAAGAATTTGAAGCAACTCAGACAGTGGATTTATAGCAGACTACTGTTAATAGAGTAGACTATAATAACACAAAGGTATAATAACACTATGTTGTTATTGTGGTAGTGGTTATGTGCCGTCGAGTCGCCTGCAACTCATAGTGACCCTATGTAAAACAGCCCTAAACTCTGCCCTATCCTGGGCCAATCTCACCATCTCTGACACACCTGCTCCTCTTATTACCCCAGTCACTGAATCAATCCATCTCATTGAGGGTCTTCCTCTCCTGCACTGTCCCTCCATCCTCCCAAGCATGACGTCCCTCTCCAAGGACTGGTCCCTCATTGCAACATGTCCAAAGTATGTCAGATGAAGCTTCACAATCCTTGCCTCTAAGGAGCAGCCCGGCTTCACCCTCTTCAGGACAAACCTTTTTTTTTTCCTAGCAGTCCATGGTATATTCAATACTCTTCTCCAACATCACAGCTTAAAGGCATCAATTTTCCTTCTATTATCCCTAGTCATTGTCCTGATGCATAGCAAGTGATTGCAAAGACCATGGCATGTATCAGGCAAACCTTAGTCTCCAGACTGACATCATTGCACATCAGTACTTTAGAGAGGTCTCTAACTACAGACTTTCCCATTGCAATATGTCTTTTAATTTCTTGGCTGCTGGTGCCGAGAGTGTTGATTGTGGATCCAAGGAAACCCAAACTGTGAACAATCTCAATCTCTTGATCATCCATTATGATGCTGCCAATTGGCCCAATGGTGAGAATCTTTGTTTTCTTGATATTGAGTCTCAATCTATACTGAAGACTGCAGTCCCTGACCTTCCACAGCAAGTACTTCAGGTCCTCCTCATTTTCAGCAAGCAGGGTTGTGTCATCTGCATAATGCAGATTGTTGACAGATCTTCCACCAATTTTGACCCCACATTTCTCCTGATAGAGCCCAGCCTCCCAGATAATCTGTTCTGCATACAGGTTGAAAAGGTATGGAGACAGGATACAGCCCTGGCGTATACCCTTCCCTATTTTGTATTATGCATTGTTTCCTTGCTCTGTTCTGATGACTGCTTCCTGGTCCAAGTATAGGTTTCGTATTAGCACGATCAAGTGTTCTGGGATTTCCATTCTTCTCAGAGTCGGCCACAGTTTGTTATGATCCACACATATAACACTATAACAAAATAAATATATGACAGAATTTCATCCACATAAGAGAGAGGGGGACTCTCAAGTACATTATAGTATTTCAGTAATATTCAGACTTGCAACCTCTACCCCCTTTTTCTGATGTTGTTAGGTACCATTGAGTACAACTAATAGTGGCCTTCTGGACAACAGACTTAAAACTTATCCTATCCTGTATCATCTTCATCATCTCTGATACACTTGAGCTCATTTCTGTAGTCACTGTGCCAGCCCATCCCACTGGAGGGGGTCTTCATCTCTTTTGCTGACCCTCCCCACCTTTCCAAGCATGATGTCTCTTTCCAAGAAATAGCCTCTTCTAGCAACATGTCCAAAGTATGAGAGACAAAGCATTACCATCATTACCTCCAAGGAGCACTCTGTCTGCACCTTGTTTAAGACATATCTACATACTTTTTTTGGCAGCCCATGGTATATTCAGCAATCTTCTCTAACATCACAACCCAAAGGTATCAGTTATTCTTCTAACATCCTTATTCATTGTACAGTTCTCAGATGTGAAGCAAATGATTGAAAAGAATCAGGTGCACCTTAGTCTTCAAAGTGACATCAGTGCTCTTTAATATTTTGGAAAAGTCCTTGACAACAAACTTGACCAATACATCTTCTGATTTCCTGACACCAAGGGTGTTGATTGATAATTCAAGCAAGATTAAATCATTGATAACTTCAATCCTTTCCCCATCTATCACAATGTAGCTTATTGACTCAGTGGTGAGGACTTATGTTTTCTTGATGTTGAGATGTATGCATACAAAGGCAGAGTCATTAATTTTTGGCAGCAAGTGTTTGAAGACTTCTTCACTTTTCAACAAGCAAGGTTGTGTTGTCTACATAACACAGGTTGTTTATGAGTCTTCCTCCTGGCCTGATGCCACACTCCTCTTCACAGAGTCCAGATTCATAGATTACTGGCAGTTTGATGTTGAAGACTGTCATCACTTAATTTAAGAGATTTCAATGTATATGAACTTTTAAAGTAAACTGGTATTAAATAAAGTGGGGAGGGGGAAAGCACTTTCGTAAAAAAGTAGGCGGGGGAAAGGGATTTTAAATACAATAAAGTTTCTTGAAATGACCTTATTTCATTTGCAATATATATAATTTGCCAATTCATTTATGTTTTAAAGAAATTTAACCTTAAAAATGTCTTTGTCTTAAGTCTTAATTGGCATCATTTGCTTTCTGAAGATTGGTGTATGCATATCTAGTATTTTCCTGGAAGAGATAAGCAATCTCCTCCTGTGCAATTTATAGTCTTTGAAAAACCACCATAGGGTCATCTATACACTGGTTCCAACTCAATGGCAATGAGTTTGGAGTTTGATATTTGATATACTGTTGTATTGATTATTTTTTTAAAATATCAGTTTTTAGTAAAAGATAGTTTAACCTATTTAAACAATATAATTAATCCATCTCCAAACCTCATTGTTGTCAGGTTGGAACTGACTCATAGCTGACCCTTTAGCAGATTTTCAGAGGCTACAAATCACAAGAAATTGTGATCTTTCTCCGAAGGAGCCACTTGTAGATTTGAACCACCATTCAGGTGTCACCTTTGGGTTAGCATGGCAGCTCCCTCCAGACCACACCACCAGAGCACCTCCAGAGTTAGCCCCAGTTTCAGTAGAAGATTATGAATTTGACCTTTTAATGATAAAGACCAACTTTTTAACTGATAAAATTTGTTTTCCAAGGCAGCCATTAATAACATGCTTTTAAAATTTATCTCAACATTTTCTACATTTCTTTTCAATGTTTATGACTAATAGTGACTATAAGAATTTGTAGGTGGGTGAAATGGTTGAGCCCTTGACAACTGACCTAAAGATTAGTGGTTCAGACCCACCTCAGAGGGAGGTGCCTTTGACGAAAGACTAGGTGAGTTGCTTCTGAAGGTTTTACACAGCCTTGGAAACCCTACGAGGTACATGTCTACTCTGACATAAATGGGTCACTGGGAGTGTCAAAGCTGACTGCAGGACACGTGGTTAACTGTTTCATATGAAATATCCTTTGCTCGCTGTCCAAGAAGTTCATATTTTTGACATATGCTTTCCTTTTTTAAGGTTGCCATTTGGACACTGGCATTTATACTTTCTCATCCTGACATCCACAAGACTGTTATGGAAGACATATCTTCTGTGTTTGGCCCAGCAGGTATTAACCCAGAATGAAATTACATAATTGAAGACACATCTAATAATGTGTGCTTGTCATTTTTTCATGAAGTGAAATGCCCATAATTTTATAGAGATTTAACAAAATGCACAGCTAAACACTATTTGTTATGAATTATAAGCCAATCAAGTAACATCCTAGAATTTAATAACTCTCTAGGATTTTAGAAGCCATATAATCCAACTTCCTTATTTCTAAAGCCTTAATTTATATACACAGTCAGGGGTTTTCCTTCAAATCCTTTGGCCTCCTCACCTCAGTTAAGCTCAAACCCAGCCATTCCTCTGAAACTTCAGAACAAATGTTTTATTTTATTTTTTTT